AAAAGGAAGGTTGCGGGGGGGGGGGGGCGGAAGAAATGGCACACATAGGGTGACCAGATCACAGCAGTAAAATAGGACCCGACCCCTCCCCGCGTGGCCCCACCATCACACCCCTCTTCACCCCCTAGCCCCCCGCTGGCTTGCTACATCCCTCCTAGTTAGTCCCCCACCAACCACTTGCCTCCTTTCACCTTCTCCCTCCCCTGCCAGAAACCCCCATGCCCGCCCCTAGAACCCCTGCTGGCTCACTGCTTGCCTCTTTGCCCACCTGCCCCTTGCCCACCTGCTTGCCCCCCCCCAAATATAAAGCCTCATTCAAAGACCCAGGGGTCACTATATTACTGGACACAGCAGTCAATCAGTGCAGTTGTAGATAAATCTCCGCATTATGCATTTTTGTATAACTTTTGTATGACTTTGTATTGAACCTTGGTAATGTTATAGCTGGCCCCTAAGGTAGTATAATTAAGGTAAAAGAAAAATGTCTTTTTGCTAGAAGTAGAATAAGATCTTCCCTCCACTTTGTAATCAATTGACCTGTTGAATGAATGAGGAAGGTGTGGAAGGCAGGCACTTCCAGACAGCTGCAACCCTTGGAGAGGGGCCGGGAGCCAGCCAAGGAGAGCTTTGCCCAGGGCTGAGTGGGACAGAGCTTGGGTGCAGGCTCTGGGCTGGGGCATGGTGTGGGGTGCAGGATGGGTGGAGGGGTGCAGGCTCTGGGTGGGAGTGCGGAGGGGTGGGTGCAGGCTCTGGGACAGAGTTTGGGGGCCGGAGAGGGGGTGGTGGGTGCTGTGGGGGAGGGGACTGCCATCACATGTGGCTTCCTTCCTCCCCTGCTGCCCCTCACCATAGCCTCGGTGAGGGATGGGGCTGCCCCTTGCCCAGTGTTTGCAGGAGTGGTGGCTGGGGGGAAACCCAGTCAAACTCTCATTTTACTCTTTCGTTGATGGGTCACTTTAACCCCTTACAAACCCCTTCCCGCCTCTCTCACCCCCCTTTTCTACTGGGCTTGTTTGATCTTTTCGGTGGAGCCAGATGAAAACCACAAATCCCAGAGAAAGCAACAGGCTGGAAGACTAGACTGAACCCACCACCCACCCAGCCTAGTCCATCCCAGAGCCCAGGACTGAGGGCAAATGTCCCCCCACCCCCGGGCCACCTGCTTCCACTCCTGGCCTCTCCTAGTGCCGCCAGAGATTCTGTGTGGCTGCATCGGGTGGGATTTCAACCGGACACCCCCCCCCCGCTAAATTCACCCCTGTTTTGTGACCACTCTGCACCAAGAGCACCTTCCTTCCCTGCCCTAGAGCTGCTGGATGGCTAGAAAGCTGAGCGGGCGTTTGATCGATCCAGAATATTATCGTGCCCCCCCCCCAAAACCTTAATGTCCACACAGCTTTGGGGGGGATATTCCTCCCCCCCAAAGCCGGTCTATTTTATTGTTGCAGGGCAAATGAAGGAGCCAGAGTTTAATGGAAATATTCAGCCCCTACAGTGGTCTTGCAGCAGGGGAAGCAGAGTTGATGTGAAGGGAACTGGTTTGGATAGGAACCCCCGTCCCCCTCCTTTGCAAAATAATTTGGGGAGGGGAATCAGATCACTCCGTGCCTCAGTTCCCCCTCTCTCGGGGGAAGGGGGAGAGATAAAAGTCTCAGCCTGCCGTGTTGCAGACCTTTCGCATTCTCCCCTCTTGATGTATTTGATTTCCTCCTCCAACCCCCCCCCCCTCACCTGGAATTCACAGCACTAAGTACCGGCTCGGGGCTTTCTTCCTGGGTTACATGATCCCGAGTTTAGTTTTGAAACAGACACAGGCAGGCACAAACTCACCCTCAAACAGCAACACCACCGAAAACCACAAAACCAACCCAATATTACAAACCTAGGGGGAATCACGGGGTCAAACTCTCACCGACCGGAGCCCCAGCAGCTGCTCAGTGAGTGAGGTCCACTGCCGAGATTCCTGTCTCCCACCGACCGGAATCCCCCTCGGCGTCTCCTCCAGGTGAGGGCTGGGGGGAGGGGAGGGGAAGGCTGCAAAGCACATGTGCCTTCTCCTCCCCTCCCCCCCCCGACCTGCAACAGCCCCCGCTGCCTCTGCCTCAGCCCCCCCGCCGGCGCACCCCCCCCGCTACCCCGGACCGGCTCCCCGCCCG